AATGAAAATGAGACCAATGACGCAAGTCATAGTACGACTTAAGGCATGGATGTTTCCATTGACACCCCCAATACCAAAAAGATGAAGAAGAGAAAGACTTTGACAGCTGCCGAGGTCATAACAAGTATATTGGGTGATATGACAAGGGTCTTAGGTGATTATGTTGTTAATTGTGGTCGTAAGCTTGATAATATCACATATAGTGTAGGCCATGTCCAAGATGTTTCTGAATCAAGGAGAAGGATCTTTGTTGAGCTTGGGAAAATTGGGTGGCTTGATGATGATCTACTCTATGAGGTTGGTTACAGAATTGCCTCTGATCCGATTAAGGTGGACTTGTTCTTTAGCTTGCTTGACGCTTTGAAGTCATCTTGGGTAAGGAAGTTGTTGTACGGATCGAGCTACCAATAGGTGTAGGGTTGGGAAACATTTCTTTTGACGTGATATAGATGAAATTAGTCATATAGACCTTATAAAGTGACATTATATACTGTCCCCTTTTTTGGCTTATTCACCTATGTCCGTATGTAAAATATGGTTAAGTACGTATGTAAATTATTTCTTATGAAGTTTGAAAAACTTAGCCGTACTTGCATAATGACGTTATGTTTATTAACACTTGCTTTTTATATTGGTATGCATTTGCATAGAAATGTACTAACATGTGTTTAGTTAGACAAGTGATGCACAAGAGAGCACGCTTTTACATCATGTTTGTTGGAAGACAAGTTGGTGTCTATTTGACATGACAAGAATGTCATGTGCAAGTGAATAGGTACCCGAGCGCGTTGTACAAGTCTTATTTCTCGTACATCAAAGCTGAAAACGCATTGTGCATGTACATTTCAAATGAAGATGTCGTAAGAGATGTCCAACATGAATGTAAAGTGACTGTCCATCAGAATCAACCTCTAGATAATCTTCATGTAGAAGATGCAGTGGACATTCCTCTAGCAGCCCCAACTGTTATTGGGCATGATGACTAGGGCGAGGGAGACCGTAACGTCGGTAACTATCTCATGTATGTTGTGATGTTTGTTTTGGGTATGGTACTAACCCATATTCTTTACTTTTTTCTGAGTAGACTTTCTTGAACTATGTTTATATTTTGTTTGGCATCTTTTGGACAATCTTTAAGGTCAGTGTTTGGTGCTCTATTTAGATGTACGTTGTAATGTTACCTTATATATTTTTTGACATTAACTGGGCAATGTATGAAAATGATGTACATTATGAATGGATTTCTATTGTAATTGGTTTTTTGTGTTGTGATATGATTGTTTTGTTTAATGAATTTGTATAAACTGGTGGTGTGTCAATGGTTTGTGCATTTGGTTTGCACAATATTTTATCGAAAAATGTCGATTCCTCAAATTAGTGCTACGGAAAGTGATGTGTTGATGGCTTTGTTACTTCGAAACAAACAATGGGGCGTAGTGCCTGAACGAGGCAGCATGACAGCCCAACACTTTAGGTATCTGTTAAGGCTGATGAAAAGGAGGCTGCTTGCATTTACCATGGATCATATTGACTTTGTGAAGATTATCTTTTTTTGGAAGAAGCAATACTTCACTATCAAGGCTATGTTGAAGACGAGGATGTTTTCTTGGGGCTCGGCTGACTTGTACGTCATCGATAGGCAAATCGCTGGAGTGCGTGACTACGTAGTGGTAAGTGTTTAATTCAAAACTATATTAGTGAATATCATCTTATGTCTCTTTGTTTTATTTTTTTTCACATTTGATTGAATTCTTGATGTGTTTAAAAGTGATTAATTAACTTGCAGGCAAACAAGTTTGCTAGAATCTGGTGCATTGATCCATGTCCTTTGTTCGAGAAAATGATGGAGATTTTTGACAACATGTCCCCGGAAGAGCNGCCCACTCAATTTTGTTGGCAAGAGTGATAATCTAACTTTGGTCAATAGAGAATCAAAATATCAAATTTTAATTTTTTAAAGTAACATTGATAAATTAAATTTTATTGTCGTTTCATATTTTCAGAGCTTTTGTTTAAATTCAAGCTTTATTATTATTATTGATCCTTTATTATCACATGTATTTATTTTGATTATATATTATAGACAACCAGCCGGATATAAAAATAAGAAAAATTAAAAACTATTAGTAACTCAAAAAAAATCTTTTGATAAATTTGTTACATGTACCAAACAAAAAAATATGTTTGTAATTGATAATATATGATAGCAAAATTTGAGAATACAATAATTTGATTAAGAATGTGTATTTTAACAAGCGAGAATTATTATTATTTTTAAATAATTGTAGTAATGTTAAAAAAAAAACAAAACAAACCAAAATACTCTATTCAGATTTGCCACTTTAGGCCTCAATATGTGTCGGGCCGTCCTTGATTTTAACCTAAAACATTCCTCCACCAGGAATGTTATTGAGAGGTGTTTTGCTCCCCTCAAGATGCGATGGGCAATCCTTTGAACTGTCTGTTTCTACCCTGTCTCCACACATTACAGAATTATTGCTACTTGTTGTCTATTACATAATTTCATTAGGAATAAGATGCCAGTTGACCCATTGGAAGACCACATACATGAGTATGTTCTTAATGAGGACGATGACAACACCAACACCAATGTAGTTGACAGTGTTGACACCTCTACTGTGTGGGCTGCTTAGAGGACTCAGTGGGCGAATGAAATGTACGTTGCATGGTTAAGTAGTAGATGAATTTTGTTCTGGGGGGGGGGAGTTGGTTATTTTGCAACCTTCAATTAGTAGACTAAATGGTGGATGTGTTTTTACTGTGTTCTTGGTACTTCGTTCGGTTGGATTAATGGTTGTCCTTAATCTTACGTAATACAATTTATTTGGTTGTGTTATTATGCTATATATATTCCACATTTGCCTTATTGTATTTGATTTTACATTGAATATTCGCTTTAAACTGATAAATACACACACACACACACACACATATACATATATATATATATATATATATATATATATATATATATATATATATATATAGCGAACATGGTTAGTGTTGGCAGCTCGCAGAGTATGAGTGTTATTCAATTGGAAAGGTACCAAGCCAATATGGACAAGCGCAGAAGAGACACAACTATTATATGCACTGAAGGATCTATGTGCAGTAGGGTTGAAGTGGCCTAATGGTACATTCAGGTTAGGTTATCTACAGTTGCTAGAACAAAGAATTGGCAGTAGTACGCTTCGTGCATAACCACACATTGAATCAAAGATAAAAAAGTGGAAGAGATAATATAATTGTATACTATCTATGATGAACACGAGTGGCTTCGGGTTTAATGATGCAGATAATAAAATCGAGGTTGATTCTGATGATGTTTGGGTGGAGTACTTAAAGATAATTTGGTTTGACGTAACACTTTTTAATTAATAGAGGTCTTTTGATACTTTTAGTACTCCACTTATTCGAGGCATGTTTTTTTGTGGTATAATTATTGTAGAAGAATAAGCAGGCTAGGGGATTCGTGAAAAATGTTGGCCATACTTCAAAGATTGAGAAATTATTTTTGACAAGGATCGTGCAACAGGATAATTTGCAAAGGATGTTGATGAAATGGTTGGAGGGAATGACAACGAGGATGCAGACCATGAAGTTGACTTGACAGGCATTAAGAATGAAAATGAGACCAATGACGCAAGTCATAGTACGACTTAAGGCATGGATGTTTCCATTGACACCCCCAATACCAAAAAGATGAAGAAGAGAAAGACTTTGACAGCTGCCGAGGTCATAACAAGTATATTGGGTGATATGACAAGGGTCTTAGGTGATTATGTTGTTAATTGTGGTCGTAAGCTTGATAATATCACATATAGTGTAGGCCATGTCCAAGATGTTTCTGAATCAAGGAGAAGGATCTTTGTTGAGCTTGGGAAAATTGGGTGGCTTGATGATGATCTACTCTATGAGGTTGGTTACAGAATTGCCTCTGATCCGATTAAGGTGGACTTGTTCTTTAGCTTGCTTGACGCTTTGAAGTCATCTTGGGTAAGGAAGTTGTTGTACGGATCGAGCTACCAATAGGTGTAGGGTTGGGAAACATTTCTTTTGACGTGATATAGATGAAATTAGTCATATAGACCTTATAAAGTGACATTATATACTGTCCCCTTTTTTGGCTTATTCACCTATGTCCGTATGTAAAATATGGTTAAGTACGTATGTAAATTATTTCTTATGAAGTTTGAAAAACTTAGCCGTACTTGCATAATGACGTTATGTTTATTAACACTTGCTTTTTATATTGGTATGCATTTGCATAGAAATGTACTAACATGTGTTTAGTTAGACAAGTGATGCACAAGAGAGCACGCTTTTACATCATGTTTGTTGGAAGACAAGTTGGTGTCTATTTGACATGACAAGAATGTCATGTGCAAGTGAATAGGTACCCGAGCGCGTTGTACAAGTCTTATTTCTCGTACATCAAAGCTGAAAACGCATTGTGCATGTACATTTCAAATGAAGATGTCGTAAGAGATGTCCAACATGAATGTAAAGTGACTGTCCATCAGAATCAACCTCTAGATAATCTTCATGTAGAAGATGCAGTGGACATTCCTCTAGCAGCCCCAACTGTTATTGGGCATGATGACTAGGGCGAGGGAGACCGTAACGTCGGTAACTATCTCATGTATGTTGTGATGTTTGTTTTGGGTATGGTACTAACCCATATTCTTTACTTTTTTCTGAGTAGACTTTCTTGAACTATGTTTATATTTTGTTTGGCATCTTTTGGACAATCTTTAAGGTCAGTGTTTGGTGCTCTATTTAGATGTACGTTGTAATGTTACCTTATATATTTTTTGACATTAACTGGGCAATGTATGAAAATGATGTACATTATGAATGGATTTCTATTGTAATTGGTTTTTTGTGTTGTGATATGATTGTTTTGTTTAATGAATTTGTATAAACTGGTGGTGTGTCAATGGTTTGTGCATTTGGTTTGCACAATATTTTATCGAAAAATGTCGATTCCTCAAATTAGTGCTACGGAAAGTGATGTGTTGATGGCTTTGTTACTTCGAAACAAACAATGGGGCGTAGTGCCTGAACGAGGCAGCATGACAGCCCAACACTTTAGGTATCTGTTAAGGCTGATGAAAAGGAGGCTGCTTGCATTTACCATGGATCATATTGACTTTGTGAAGATTATCTTTTTTTGGAAGAAGCAATACTTCACTATCAAGGCTATGTTGAAGACGAGGATGTTTTCTTGGGGCTCGGCTGACTTGTACGTCATCGATAGGCAAATCGCTGGAGTGCGTGACTACGTAGTGGTAAGTGTTTAATTCAAAACTATATTAGTGAATATCATCTTATGTCTCTTTGTTTTATTTTTTTTCACATTTGATTGAATTCTTGATGTGTTTAAAAGTGATTAATTAACTTGCAGGCAAACAAGTTTGCTAGAATCTGGTGCATTGATCCATGTCCTTTGTTCGAGAAAATGATGGAGATTTTTGACAACATGTCCCCGGAAGAGCTGATTGAAAGGGTGGGCTCTTGTTCAGGTGGTGATCCAGCAGAAGACATAGAGGTTATCAATGTTTTTGATTAAGCATGATCACTGTCAGAGTATGACTGTATGTAAAATATGTTTTCCACAAGCCATTTTAGTTTTTGGGTATGAATGCGTGTGGTAGTAGTTGTAAATCACTCATGGCATGGTTGAACTTGGTTGCTATTGATGAATTTTGGTGGTATTATCTTTTGGGAATGTTGGTGTTTATATTATGTATGAAAAATATTTATGGGGGATGTTTTAAACTTGCTTGTGGAGCCACCTGTATTGGTTTTTGGTGGTAGTTGATGTGTTTCCAGTGGTATCTTATATTTGGTGGTAGTTGATGTGCTCGAGGTTATATATGTTGATGTGTTATGCTTGACAATGTCGTGTGTGTTGTGCTTGAACTGATATCCAAACATTGTTCCAATAGGGCTGTTAGTTTGAGGCCAGGTTAAGGTTGGACATATTCTTGCAGAATATTAAGCATTCATCGTTGCTACAGTTGTTTTGTGTGTTTGAGGTTGATTCTTTGTGTGTGTTACCTAGGGGTGTGTGTGTTACCTGGGAGATACTTGCAACAATGCATAAATGACTTTAGGTCATACCAGTATTTGTAACTGTCTACAGCGAAATAGATCATAGACATGATAATTCATTTTCCTTTAAAAAAAAAAGGTTTTTGGTTTTAGTCATGCACATTGCTCCACTTGCAATAAATTAGAGCGGTGCTTTGTGATTTTTGATGTGTTTTGGGAGGTGGGTGTGCAAAGTTTCTTATTTTGGCCTTCTTCTTACATGCCAAATTGAACTAAGTTTATGGTGGTGTTGGCCTTGATTTGAGTTGGGTGTCTCATTTGGGTTCGGTAAGTGTTTTATTTGAGATTTTTCCTGGCTTTCTTTGTGTGTTCATCTTTGGGTCATGAAATCCCTAGCCAAACATGCCATCCAAATGATCTTCTAGCTCTACAAGAACTTGTAGGAAACCTTATATATGAGTCCATTATCTCAGCATGGTCCAATGGTTGTACTAACAAACAAGGGCATAGATTGCTTTGGATTATAAGGTTACAATTATCTTTTTACATTGAATAGTTCATCTGACACACCTTTTTATGTAAGTATCACATAAATAATTTTTGTAAGAAACAACCAAGGGGAATGATGGGATAAAAGTTTAAGACCAAGTATAGTATCTCATTTGGTAGGAATGGAATGAATATAATTTCCAATACCACCCATAATTAATACCTAAAACAAACATGCCCTTGGAGTATTAGAGATGCTCCATGGTGACATACAATGGAGGTGGTGTGGATCATTGGTTCAAAGAAGAGGACAATGGTCTTTCTACAATTTCAATATTTAAAAGGGTTATTTTTGTCTTAATTTTTTTTTCCACACAGATCAACTCTCATATTATGTGCATGGGACACACCTCCAGTTAAGTCTGACAGAATCATTGATAGTTTACTTTAGTCTATAATCTAAGCGAGGGTTATGTGGACATTTTTAAATACTAGAGACGTTATGTGCACTTGGAGTATACCACGGGGTGGTAAAGTGAAGTTTATCCGTAAATTTTCAATTGCAACATTCAAGCCCGAAGAATTTTAATTGAGTTTTAATTTAGTCCTTAAATGAAAAATCACTAATTTATTACGACATAATTGTCTTTTGTGATCAACATGCGATTTAGATAAAAAAATATATATATTTATCTAGTGAAAAATCTATTTTTGTGTAGGTTAATCCTATTATTTCATGTGATTTAAAAAAAAAAAAAAGATAACAAACCCGAAAATAAAAATAGAGTGTGAAAATGTGAAAGATATTGTTAGACAAAAAAAGAAATATCGATGTATTTGAGAGAGACATGTTTTGCTGAATATATATATATATATATATATATATATATATATATTTATGTACAAACCCTATGACATATTTTTGTTGGGATAAATTAATAGATTTGAGTGGAAGAATTAATTAAAACTCGCTTAAAATTTCATGATGTAATTGTTTCAATTAAAACTTCATATTTTTACCAAAAAAAATATTATTTGTATATTTTAAGGATATAAATTATAAATTACCTTGACCAAAAAAAAAAGTTTATAAATTACCCGATCCAAATGCACAAATAACGAAAGCCAAAGCATCACATACTTCAGAATAAATTACATATATAGTCTTTAAACTATGATTCTTATATTAATTAAATTCTTTTTTTTTTTAATCAATTGAACTCATAAACTCTTTAAGTATATCAGTTGAGTCGTTTTGTTAGCATACGTTAAAACCTACTGAAAGTGACTAAATGAGTCACTTACAAGAAACAAATGATTAAGATAAACTATACATATAATCCTACAAATTATGACAATTATATCAATTAAGTATTAAAACTTTTTTTTTTTTGTTAATTAAACTCTTGAACTCTCTAATTGAGTTATTTTGTCTTTTTGTGCTATATAGACGCGGGAATGACACACTCTAAAAAAGGCAGACATAGAGACTCAATTTATAAAATTAAAGAGTTTAGAGATTCAATTAATATAAAAAAAAATTTAAAAACTTAATTTATAAAATAATCATAATTTGGGAGTAATATATGTAATTTAGTAGATTTTTTCTTTGGTCCCCTTTACCAAATCCGTTACTTTCTTCTGGAGGATCAAATCCGTTACTTCCCAAGAGGGAGAATGATGGTCTGTGTCGGTTTCATCTTTTAGAGAGAGAGAGAGAGAGAGAGAGAGAGAGAGAGAGAGAGGAGCTTTGAATTGGGGGTTTAATGAACAAATTTATGTTGCAGAGTGGCGTTAAACGTCAGTAATCAATACCAAAATGGGTAACCACCACGGCCGTCACTCCTCCGGACACCGCAAGCACCGTACAAATGGCGGGAGTGGCTCAGTTCCCGATGAAACCGCAGGTCCATCCTATAAATATGGACCGTCAGATCCCATAACTAGCTCAGCTACCAAGTCTTCTAACATGGGGTTATCTTTGCCATACTCTCACGTCGATTCCTCTTTAAGGGCTCTCGCCAGCCAAGCCGAGGGCTTTGGCCGCTTCGCCGTCGGAGGACTTCACGGTGCCCTCCATCACGTCACCACTCTTGCAGGTCACCTCTAATTTCTCATATATAAGTTGTTTATTGTCGTACATAAAGCTGAGGCTGGTGTTGATGTTATGGTTTTGTGACTGTTTACTGTTCAAGTGGATTATTTTAGAAACTCGTTCGAAGAGTATTATGAAGTCTTGATGTTTAATTTTATGGGGTTCATGAAAATGGTACAAACTAGTTCGTGGGGTCTAATGGGAAATTGATCACATAACTTCAATTTTATTACCAGTTTGATTTGATTGAGACATTTGTTGAATTGTTGTGCTAGTATTTTATGGAAACATCATACCTAAGGGACGGTAGCAAACACAGAGGAGCCACATCCCTCCAGATACATGGTTCGTTACAATTAACTGCAAACTTTGTTAAACTGTTTGCTACAAAAATTACCGCCTCGTTGAACCCTTAAGTTGAGAAATATTGCAAATGACCGAGATAGTCATGAATCTGGTCCACAAAGACCCCAAACTCAACATTTCCTTGTGTTCACTGGAAACTGCATTTATCACATTATGTGTGTCATCTTCCAGTTGGATGTTGACAAAACCTGAATCCATTGCAAACTTTACCGCCGTAGATGCTGCCAAAGCTTCAACATGTTCGAGTTGTTGCACGCAGCTCATCCTTTTACTTAATCCAGCTACAAAGTTCTCTGCACAATCTCTAATAACGGCTCCAATCCCAGAAGCTTTTATTGAGCTAAAAGAGGCTCCATCACCATTGAGTTCTATCAGAAAGAACCTCAAACGGCTGGCTGCACTACTGTGCTTCCTGTGCTTATGTGAATTGATCACAGTAGGAAGCTGAAAGCTGAATAATCTGAATCGGAGTTTGATAAAATGAATTCTTGAAAATGGTTTAGTAGTTTGTGAGGTTAAATATATATGAAGAGTAATGGGAAAAGAATGTCATGATAGTACTGCACACATTTCATCTTTGCACTGCAAGTTTTGGGAAGTGAAATTGATGCGAATTGCTGGCATCATCATCGGGGGTTGTAATGATGTGGTGATCATTTCTTGGATGGACGCCATCATTTTAGAGTTATAATATGTCAAAATTTGTTGAAAATTTTAAATTGAAAGACTGGATTTTGACAGGTCTCCTTTGAGACGTGGTTAGGTTTTACCATTAACTTGAAGGTGTTATCTTTATTGTACGTCTTTTTTTTTTCTTGGTAATTTTGTACGAATATATGCTATTGTCATGCTGAATCCCTGAAACATACTGATAATGTGTGTGATGAGTAGCAAATGTTGCACTGCTGAGATACTTTATTTTTAAGTGGTAACTTTTCAATGAAGTTCATCACCTTTTATTCCTTTGGTCACTAAAATAGGCCAGATGCTTTTTTTTTTATGTGTATTATTGTAGATGATGGGCCAGGATCACTTCGTGAAGCATGTCGCAGAAAAGAACCTCTGTGGATTGTCTTTGAAATCTCGGGCACCATTGAGCTCTCTTCTTATTTGAATGTGTCATCCTACAAAACCATTGATGGGCGGGGCCAAAGGATCAAACTCACAGGAAAAGGTTTGAGGCTGAAGGAGTGTGAACATGTTATTATATGCAATCTAGAGTTTGAAGGAGGTAGAGGACCTGATGTCGATGGCATTCAAATTAAACCTAAATCAAAGCATATATGGATAGATCGTTGTAGTCTTCGTGATTATGATGACGGACTGATTGATATAACTCGAGAGAGCACAGATATTACTATTTCCAGGTGAGCTGAATCTACAACATTTTGGAAGTTAATGTTTTTTTGGTCCATGTCTTTAACCTTCGAATCTTTGCATTCAGATGCCATTTTTCACAGCATGACAAGACTATTCTTATTGGAGCAGACCCTTCTCACACTGATGATAGATGTATTCGGGTAACTATTCACCATTGTTTTTTTGATGGGACCCGACAACGGCATCCACGTGTAAGGTTTGGTAAAGTACATTTATATAACAACTACACCAGAAACTGGGGGATTTATGCCGTTTGTGCCAGTGTTGAATCTCAGGTTATGATACTTTCAACAATTGCATATATATATGTACACATACACGCACACATTTATATTGTGTTAGTCTTTGTTGGCTTGAAAACTTCTTTTGAGGATTTAATTGTTTTGCGCTATCCTGAGTTACTTGTCTAATTAGCACTGCGTATGTTTTTGACTTCAGATATATTCACAATGCAATATATATGAAGCAGGGCAGAAGAAGGTGGCTTTCAAATATCTGACAGAGAAGGTATATTGTCTAATTGTGTGTTTCTTCTTTTATAATTTAAAAGCTGTAAGCATCATTGGTAATTCATATAGTTGTAAAAGAGTATATAGAGAGTTCTTTGTCTGGTATCTGTCTTAACAACGGGTTTGGTTAGGAGCTGCTTTTTAGCAGCAAATAAGTTTGGAAATTTGATGGTTGTTTGGACTGACCGAGTGAAGAATTCCTGGAAGATTCAAGAACCCAAAGTCCACTTTGAGGAAAAGAAAGAAGGCAGATTTCCATATTAAATAAACTGCGAAAGAGTGATTGCTTGCCATTTGAGGTCCAGTGGCCCTTGTATTGTTGATAGTAAACTGATAATGTACATTCTTCATTCATTTGTTGGTTTTCTGTTTTGAGTCGCCTTTCCATCCTCTGAAGCAATATTAGTTGAGAAACTCTTACATTCAGCCAATTGTAGTCAAGTTCCTTCAGTCATTATAATTTTTCATCGGCCTTTTAGGAGCTTCCAATGGTCATCATTTTTGAAGTGATGATCCTTCCAACTTATCCTTTACCAATTTTAAACACTCATGACTGCTCCATCATCTAATTGCTATTTTTCAGCAAAATCTCTAAATATATGCTTTTGGGTAGATTTTGAGGAAAATTTGCTGTCTTCATTTTTTTTTTCACATTGTTATTGGAATTTCTTTTAATGAAAAGCAAAATTTCTGAAATGACTTCTGCCGACAATTTTGAAGACAGAATTATTTTATACTATATTTGCAGTTGTGTCTCATTCTCTCCCCCTCAAAAATTAATCTATTGAGATTGAGTTGGTTTTAATCTATTCACTTACAGTACTGTTGATTGAGTTGGTAACCGATGCTCTTTCCCAGCTTTTTGAGATTTTCAACCATATCCATTTGCTATTTCCAATTGTCGGTATTTTCCAATTTTTGTAAGTATTGTCACTCTTTACTTTTTGTGGTTTGGGGGACCCCAACCATCCATGCTTGAAACCAATTTGGACAATTTTAACATAAACTTTGACCTGGTTCATTCCTCTTCCCCCTCCCCATGGTTTCTTCTTCTTGTTGCTCTTTTGTTTTTTGCATTCATTTTTTTTTTCTTTTGCCACTCGGTCATAGCAGGCAGGGGTTGGTTAATGAAAATTTTGAAGCATCAATCAGATTTGGGTAGTTTTACAGAAAAGAGGAAAACAAGATGAAACCCTGTTTTGAGCAATGACAGTTTGAAACAGAAATCAGAGTGTAAGACGGAAAAGGAGGCCCCCCGTGGGGCGGGGCGGGGCGGGGAATTGTGGTCATGGTCCACCTAGGTTTGGATTAACGATTTGTTTAGTTGAGCTGGACAGTAGGGCCAGTTTTTTAGAAGTGGTCGTGGGGTATCCATTAAGAGTAGCTAAAGGCTATTTTTGATTATGATATTGGGTCGGTGCTAATCAATGTTATTAATAACTGTTTGAAGTAGTCGTATTGTATTGGATTATTAAAACACCCAAAGAAACTTGACTTATTTAGGAGAAAATTTGAGATGCTTGAGTCCTAGTCTAAATTACATTCTAAATCTTTTTCCATGGACATGCAATTCTATTATGCAAATCCTTAGAATTGACGAGGAGTCCTCGGTTCCATAATGTAATTGCATTGTTGGTCATCATGTACTGTAGGCAGCTGATAGAGAAGAGGCATGTACTGGCTGCATTAAATCCGAAGGAGACTTATTCATTACTGGAACGCAACCGGGTTTATTGACCACCACTACTGGAAGTAGTACATTTCATCCCAGTGAATACTACCCTACCTGGACAGTGGAAGCTCCAATTGATGCTCTTAAACATGTTCTCCAACATTGTACAGGATGGCAGTGTGTCCCACGACCAGCTAATCAAACACTGGTTGTTTAACAGCTTGAAGGAGTTCCATATATTCATGCACATCTCTACCGTTCCTACTGTGTTGTGTTTTGTTTTGTCAGTACCCACAGCCCCTGGCATTACAATGTTCTGTTTTTGCTTGAGATCCACCATTCAGTCTTATTATGCCTTTGTTTCATTGATCAGCATATTCCGTTAAGTTTCCTAATTTATGCTCCATTCGACACTAGAATATCTCTTTGCATGTGGAGTAAGGCTAGTGATCCTCCCAGGACCGCAATGACGCCAGTTTCTTGTACTAATCTATTCTTCATTAGTAATGTTCCATTGGATGATTTTACGTGTGCACTGGAATGATTGGATGCTGGAGGCCCAGACAGTGACATTCCCAGTCAAGCCATTGCAGTGTTGTGACCGGTGGCGGATCTATGTTGGGCCTCTGCAGGGTCTTCAGAATTCAAAATCTTTACCACTGTATTCCCTTTGATTTTTATTTAAGTAAGGTAATTTTTGACACAAATTTGGCTCATCGGACACAATTGACCGACTGATTATGATTGAAAAGATCAAATGCATGGGGGCATTAAACGCGGGGCATTTTTTGGTGGAGTAATTAATGGTTGACAAATTCGCAAACAGCCTGTATTGGTGGGGACCCTGTATTTGAAAAGAAAACAACTTGACCGGCAACTTTTTGGTCATGGTCCACAGGAAAATTAAATATATTTGAGGGGTATGTTAGTTATGTAAGAAATTTTTAAGGGGCAGTTCGGTAATTGAGTTTTATTTTTGGTAATTTAGAGGTCTATGGTTTTATATTTTGTATATCTCATAAGAGTCAATCATTCTTATTCTTTAAGAAATATGTTCTAAGCTTATTTGCGTTACGGCGACTAGTAACCGAGATTAAAATAGTAATTAATCCAAGGCTAGGTAATAAAAAAAATAAAATAAAATGTGTACAAGGTTAGTCATTATGTTTGAAAAGAAACACACGGGAAAGTTGAAAAGAACACATTTATGTGCCGTACAGAAGTTAAAATAGAGAATTTTTCATAGCAAAATACAAGCAATAGTAAATTGACTTAAAAGGGTATGGACAAATTCCTTGCACGTAACTTTTGATCTTAGATTTTTCAAAATGGAATCGAGAGTTGATTCAATGAATGTTAGTTTAGTAACTACATAATCAACAAATGAAGACAATTTCCGTGACTTTGTGTTATTTAAATAACACCAAAATAATATTTACTTCTATGTCAAAGTCCGTGCTCGTTTTTTTCAAATGTATTTAATAATTTATTTAATTTAAGTCTCTGATCACGCTGCCTAATAATTTATGGCTCCCTTGGTACCTTTCAATACCCGTGCACATATGTCATGGTTTAAAAAGTATCTTTCTGGAATTACTTTGTGACAACGTTGGGTTGTGGGCCTATACAAATCAATGCTGGGCCCACGAAAACATTGACGTTCTTCCAAACTTGTGGGCACAGATCCCAAAAATTGATGCCAATTATTTGAGTTGTTTTTTTCCATTAGTGCCGGAAAGATTTGATTTCACTTATGTTTCTGTTTCGTTGAAGGGAATCGAAAGTTAGAGAGATGGGCAAAGCTCATCTGCTACTTGTTATCTTTCTTCTTTGTTGAATCTTCATACATGTGTTTGATAGATGAGAAGTAAATAAAAGGGCCAAAAAATAAAAAAAGCACCATCAATAGTTTAACTTCTCTCTTTTTTTTTTTTCTATTTTTCTTCCAAAATTTTGGTAGACGGAGAGGAGAAAAAAGAGAATCTTTCCAATTTTTCTTTTCGTCTTATTTACCTTCTTCTATTTTCCTTTCACCATATTATCTGCTCTACCAAATGAGGCAAAATGCCATGGGTTAGAGTTTTTGGAAAGGGGACGAAAGTATAAAACTTGAGTTGCCCAATTTTGAAGACAAAATCACACGAGTGAAAATTGAGTAAAAACGTAATGGAGAGGATCTAAATTCCCTATCAATTATATAATCGTGAATTAACATTAAATTTCAATATTTGATGGAGTCCATCGTCAGTTCAATGATTATAGTGAACGGAGGCCACCCAAGAAAGCGGTCATTGTCACCTTGTCGTCAGGTTCATCAACTTGGAGTACCTCCTCGTTAAAACGAGTGAGGTAACTCCTTAGGCTCTCCTCGCGGTCCTGCTTTATGCTAAGCAGATGTGTAACTGGTTTCTGGTGGCGACGCCCTCCTATGAAGTGTGAGACGAATGATCTGCTAAGCTCGGCGAAAGAGGCAATAGAGGCGGGGGAGAGCTTAGCAAACCACTGTCGGGCAGACCCCTTTAATGTGGTTGGGAATGCCCTGCACATGATTTCGTCTGGTACGTTGTGCAATTGCATCAAGGTCTTGTAAGTGTCGAGGTGGTCCAGTGGATCCTTTGTTCCATCAAAGGTCTCCACAGATGGCATCTTGAACTTCTGAGGGAGGGGGTAGTTCGCTACATCAGATTTGAAAGGGGTATCAGTACGCCTTACCAGGTGGTCAACAGTCTCGGGTCCCTGGGCCTTCATGGCGTTGAAGACATCACCGAGTTGATTTTGTACCTCCTTTATTTTCTCGTCCCAATGATTGGGGGCTCCTCTGGAATGATCATGGAAGTGGCTTCCATGCCCCATGCTTTGGTTTTCACCCTCATCCTCCTGGAGATAAGGGTCCTCT